TAGCATCAGCTGGTCATGCCACTTCTTTTTCCTCCTCCCCCTCAAATCCATCTACACTATTATAATCTTATGAATTTGATGAACCCACAATGCCCAAGGCCAGGGAATAATGCTAATTTGCCTACCCAGGTAAATGAAGGAAAGAATACTTAAATGAATGAGAGGATAGACCAAAACAAGTTTCTTCCAATAAAAAAGTTGATATATTGGGGGGATGATGCAGGATCTGTACAGCTTAATGTTGTGGAAAGCCTTTTTCTAAGGCTTAATAATTAGGACACTTGGCTAGTAGTTTTAATGCTCTAACACCTATCACTGTGTGATCTTGTTCATGTTAGTCCCCCTTTCTGGGTCTGAGTTTCTTCATTTGTAATAAGAGGCGGTTGAACTATAGTAGTTGCTTTTAAACATTTCTGGCTGCAACATATAGTAAGAAATACATTTTACATTGCGACTCACTATACTCATATACATACCAACAGATCTGAAACAAAAATTTTACGAGGCAATTCTCACCCTTACTAATTGTGATGCACGCTGATATTTTTTGTTCTATTCTTTTTCATATAAATGTATATATTTTTATTTTTTTAGATAATTTATTATATGTACGTGTGGGGTACAACATTGATTTTCAGTAATTGTGTACAATGTATGATGGTTAGATCAGGATAGTTAGCTTATTCATCATTACAATATGCAATCATTCTTCGTGTCCATTGACCAATTCCTCATTAGCCCCTCTCTCTCTCCTCCTCCCATCCCCTTTTCCACCTCTAGTAACCACAGTTCTTTTTTCTCTTTCTAAAAGTTCAATGTATTACTGTGATTGTAGTTTCTTTCTTTCTCTGTCTTTATTGTTTATTTGATTACTTGTTTATTTATGGATTCAGCTCCCGGTTATGAGTGAGAACATGTGGCATTTCTCTTTCTGTACCTGGGTTGTTTCACTTAGCATAATTTTCTCCAGGCTCATCCATTTGCTGCAAATGGTCGAATTTCATTCTTTTTTTTAAGGCTGAGTAGTATTCCATTGTGTATATGTACCACAATTTCCTTATCCAGTCATGCATCAATGGACATTTAGGTTGGTTCCATCGCCTGGCTATTGTAAATAGAGCTGCAATAAACATGGGAGTTTAGGTGTCCCTTTGACCTAATGATTTCCAATCCTCCGGACATATCCCCAGTATTGAGGTCGCTGGATCATATGGTAGTTCTGTCTATAGTTGTTTGAGGAACCTCCATACTATTCTCAATAATGGGTGTATTAATTTACAGTCCCACCAACAGAGCAGGAGCGTTCCTCTTTTTTCATATTTTTAATTGCTGGTTGTGACCCAGTAAATTCACTTCGTACCCTTAGTAAAGCTTCACAATCCACAGTGTGAAGAACACTGAACTATGGTTATCTACTGGCTTCCTATAGCTCTAGCATTCTGTGATTTTTGTTGTGCCTTTATCTTCTTTTTAGAATAACAGTAACAATAGCTAGCATGTATTGAGCTCTTACTATGTGCCAGGGACTGTTTAAAGCACTTTACCTATATGAACTAACTCAATTTTTCAGCAACTGTGACTTTCATTAGTCCAATTCTATTTTTTTTATATATTTTTTATTTTTTAGAAGCTGAGCTGTTTAATTACTGCCTTGGCCAGACTCAAGGCTGTGGTTGCCCCTGAATAACGCATACCTGGAAGCCACTGGGAACAGCTGGAAGATGGCGCGGCCTCAAGTCAGAGGATGAGGAAGGATAGGTAGGAGAGCTTCAGTGCTTCTGACTCCATCATCCGGCACTCTTGCCCCTAGGTCCTACTTCAGCTCTGAAAGGTTCCTAGCTGGTCCCCAAGGGCAAAGAGCCAGGTGTGGATGGGGTGCCCTTGCTCTGGTGGGAGAATGACTTTGAGGCAGGGGCAGCCATTCCTCACATTAGCCCAATTTTAAAGATGAGGAAAATCAATGTGGCTGATATCTGAACCAAATTTAGTGAGCCATCGAAATAAATTTCATGATATATTTAAACTGTTTTGAATATCTTAGAACATTTCCATCTTATAAAATATTGTTTTCCCTGCTTTTACCATTCCTAAAACAGGTGTTTAGTAATGCCACATCAGGGAGCATTGGTTCTTCCATAAATGTGAATACTACTGAAGTAGACATTTTAATTCTTGGGGAGATGCACACTATCAGCAGATTGTCAGTAGAACAACACAAGAAACTCCAAATATTTACCAATAGTCACTGTACAGCTTTATTGTGAGTAGTAGCATAAAAACAAACGTGTGCTACTTCCCGATTCCAGTAATTATCTAACTACTAAGCACCACTGTCAAAGTCCATCTTTCATGAGTTAGCTGGAAGAACCCAGAATGTGATGAAATAATACTATTCTGCATACATTCCATGGAACATATAGTTTGGGGATGTTCATGGAGCAGATTTGAAAGATTTCAAACAAGTTCTTCTTATTCAAACAATATATTTGATGTTTAATGACCCCTACAGTAAATCCAATAAAAATCCATAATTTCATTTATTCATTCAACAATCACTATTGAGCACCTACTATCTGCTAGATACTGATTTTGCCTCTGGAGATTCAGTGGTGAACTTAACAAAGTACTTACACTGAGGAACTTATTTTATGTTTTGTAACTTTGGGTTTGTGTGTGTGTGTGTGTATTTTTTAATTAATTTATTTTTTTGGCTGCTGGCTGGTATAGGAATCTAACCCTTCACCTTGGTGTTACCAGCATCACATTCTCCCAAGTGAGGTACCCGGCCAGCCCAATTTTTGTATACTGTATTTGTTTGTTTATGAAAAGCCACACTTGTATATTCCCTTTGGTAGAGAGGCAGTGGGAATTGTATGTTTCATTTATTTAAAATATTCAAGTGTCTTTTATTCATAGCAGTAGAGAAAGAACTATAGGACACAAAAAAGAACAAATCTGTTTCTGTCTGCAAAGGCTTACAGTCTAGATAAATCAGTGGTTCCTAACCAGAGGAGGCGATTTTGTCCCCCAGGGGACATTTGGCAATGTCTAGGGGTGTTTTTGGATGTCAGAACTGGAGGGGGAAGTGTTACAGTCATCTAGTGGGTAGAGCCCTGGGATACTGCTGACATCCTACAGTGCACAGGACAGTCCCACAAATAATTCTCTGGCCCAAAATGTCAAGAATACCCAGGTGGATACAAACATTAAAGGTTTGTTTGTTTGTTTGTTTGCTTATTTGTTTTTTGGCTGGCCAGTTGCACACTTGGTTAGAGTGTAACCTTATAACACCAAGGTCATGGGTTTGGATCCCCTCACCGGCCAGCCACCAAAAAACAAAAAAAAAAGTTTTTAAAAAAAATTACGAGGTATTATATGATAAATGTTAAATGAGTGATATATACAAAGTGATCCAGAGAAGAGAAAGATCATTCTAGACTGAATTGTTAAGGGGAGGCGTCATGAAGGAAGTGGGACTCAAGCTGGTGTTATGTCGCTCTTCTGCTCAATTCAAGACAGAGGAAAGCCTCCATGGCTCTGCTGCTTCTCTGGCCTCAATCTCCTACCTCTTTCCCCCTCGCCCCTCCACTGCAGCTGACCTGCTTTTGCATTTCCTTGAAAATATCAAGTGTGCTTCTGCCTCATGGAATCTGCTCTTGCTGTTCCTCTGATTCAAGTATGCTTCCCCAGATATCCATGTTTCACTCCCTCACCTCCTGCAGATCTCTGCTTTGTTCAATCTCTTATTAGGGAGAACGTCCCTAATTACACTCTCCATAAAATATTAGCTCCTGCCCCCTCCACCACCTTTCCCCTTACTATGTTTTTTGGTCTCCATAGCAAGACTGTACCTGGCCCAGACCAGACAATCAAGAAATAGTGTAGAATAAGTGAATTTGTTAAATATTAATAATGGCAGGATTGAATTTTTAAATGACCACTGGCCTAGAACAGTGCCTGCCTCATAGTAGGGACTTCATAAATAGCGAATAAAAAATGAGAAAATAGAGAGCAAAAGGAAACTAATATGAACAAAATTAGCTCATAACCATCTTTAAAAAGTATTCTTAGAGGACAATTACTACATGCTGTGTATACTGGCACATCTGAATACATCTACTAAATATTTTATTTTTAATTCTGACAGCTTTTTCACTTTATATTCGTTCTTGATCTGTGCCTCATAGTTAAGAAATAGTTTCTGAAATTCTATATCCTAGCTGTATGTGAAGCCAGGTACTATATAAAACGTTAAATGCATTTTAGTAAGTCTAAAGGCAGCTCTTTACCAATTCTACAATTTTCTATTTTCATTTGCACTTAATCACTAATTCACCCTTCCTCCACTCAGGGAGCCACTACAGACAATTATGCTAATGCAACCAGCAATAGCAGCTAACGTTTATTAAGGACTTTTTGTGCTACAGACTGTCCTGAAGGCTGTGCATACATTGTCTGGTTTTATTCATACTACAGGAAACCAATGTTATCACATTCATGTATATTAACCAACTCTAAATTACCTTCTGTTGCTGGCCCAAGGCCCAAACCCCCAAACTCCTAACCCCCTGAGCTATGACAACCTGCACCCCGCTTAATTCTATTTTCTCTTTTACATTGCGTCTAGGAACCCTCCTAGAAAGAGGAGCCACGCGCGTTCCTCCCCCTCCCTCCAGCTATGCTTTGGGAACCTTTACTATACCATTTCCCCCTCCCCCTCCCCCTCCACTCCTACCCCTCCCCCCGACGGATGACAATCCAGAGGGCACTAGGGCTGACTAGCTACGTAAAAGCGCCTGTGACTGCCTAGTAACAGAGCCTCGCAGTCGGACGCGAGGCGGGCAAAGGGCGGGGCGAGAGAGCTGGCGCGCGCACGCGTAAGGACTTTGCAGCGTAGCTACAGGGCGGAACCTTGCCAGGCAGCAGAGGAGAGGAGCGGTTATCGCCAGAGCGCCGGTTTCTTTCCTTTGGATGGGACAAACTAGCTTTTAGGAGTGAAGAGGGTACGCAATTATTCCACAATGTCTGGTGAGTCAGGCCAGCCTCAGGCTGGTCCCTCACATGCTGGGCTCAATTTGCCTAGCTTTGGGAGAAATCACGCTGGGGTCCCGGGAGGAGTGATCCGACGGGCAGGAGCCCGGGGACCCAGGTCCTGGATCCAGAAGGTTCTTGAGCAAATAACGGGCTCACCTCGCCAGTGGGTCACTCCCTCAGAGGTGGTGCCTGTCACTGTGCTGGCCGTCCAAAGGTACCTGTTAGAGGATGAGCCACGCGACACGGTGCCCAAGCCTCCTCTTTACTGCTATGATGTGACGATCTCGGATGGGGTGTACCAGGAGAAGTGCTACCTGGACCCGAGCTTGAACTCTCTCGTATACCAAAATATTCTTAAAGTTGGCATAGAAGTGAAAATTACTAGAGTCTCGTGTCTTTACAACGAGAAAAGATTAGGCCAGGGGATTCTGTGCATAGATAACGTCCACTGTGGGGATACGTTGGACAGAATTTCTTTAGAAACTCCCTTCAGAAATAGAGCACACGAGGAGAAACCAGAGAGGCCTTTAAGGGGTGGGCAGAGTCATTACCTGGCGCTGTGGAATAACGAAGATCCATATGGAGATATCTGGCTGAACGACAAGCAACCTGAGGAGCACGACTTTAGCGGTAAGTAATTGGAGGGAAGGACGGAGGATTTCAAAAAATAGTTTACAGGAGCTTGCGTTAACGGGAAAGGAAACGAAGGTGCTTTGGTTTGTGATTGTTAATTATAAGCCGGCAGTGGTGGTAGATAAGTTTTCTTGAATGACGGAGAGACGCTTTCTTAATGAAATTTGCACAGCCTGTGTCTTGGTTTGATTGCAAAAGTGGCCATTCAGGAAGCGTCTGACTACATGTTAAATTTAATCTGGCGAACGTACTGTTGTTGTGAAGTTAGTATTTCTCATGCGTGCGTTATACGTTTGACTACGGTGGAATTAATCTTAGTTTCATTCCCATTCCAGTTGTGGAAATAGTACGTTGCGTCAGTTGAAGAGCGTATAGATTTCAATGGAGCATAAAAGTTGTAAATATTTTCGGCTTTGAATGTTTTAACCTTCGTTCGAAAAGGATGTACCGTGAGGTATTTCTTAATAATTTCACATTAATTGAAACGCCACTTTTATGTCTTTTAGTCTTATTACTACGCACAGTACTGATCTAAGAAGTTCAGTTTTTCTGTATCGGAAGCAGGAAGTTAACCTGAAAATGCCAGCTCGTCATCAGCAACTGCTCTAAAATATTTTTTCTATAAGAGATGGAATTGAGGGGAATGATAGTACCATAGGCATGAACACGTATAGAATGTGGAAGAAATAAAATGCAGAAAAGTAAAGGACTTTAAAGAGAAAGATTATCATTTTCTGCGTTTACTGCTTTTCAGTCCTTTTTTTTACGTTGTCGTCACAATGCTAAATGACAGATAATCTTACTATGACGTGTAAGCAACAAACTTAGGATGAACAAAGTGAAGGATAACTGGCTCAAAAACTATGCAATTATAGTCACATCCAGTTATAAGGGGAAAAAGATGTTATAGAAATACATAGCCAAGGATGATTTAAATAACTAAATATTAAAAGCAAGATAGTTATTTCCGGAATGAAATAATAGACTTATTTTTATCTCAAGCAGGGAATAAGGCAGTAGTGCATTACTACTATAAATGTTGATCACTTTTATTTTTAGAATTGAATATGTAAATGAAAATTTGGCGCCGTAGAAGAATAATTAACTGGATAATAATTTGTTAAAGTGTATTTCGTTTTTCTTCTGATTATGAAAATCATATCTATTCATTTATTGAAATCATATTTTGTTACAAAAGGCAATATCCGTGTGCTAAAAAAATTCAAACTGTATATTTAAAAGTATATTGTGTTAAAAGCGTAAGACCCAAGTATAGTAAAACGTTGGTAAAATCTAAGTGGGTATATTGGTGTTCACTGTAAAATTCTTTCAGGTTTGCTGTGTTTGAAATCGTTAATTATAAAATGTTGGAGTGGAATGAACGACCTCTTTCACCTTCCCCCAGGCCTTCAACTTTCTCTTCAAAATTCCAAACTTTGAGCAGTTTTGTGTGTATCTTTGAAAAAAAATGAGTTATGTGGCATTGTGTAATTTGCTGTTTCCACTAAACGTATCTCAGGCATCTTTCATGTACATCTGTGCATACAATATTCCACAGTATGATTGTACCATAACTTCTATACTCATTTATAATTTTAGGCAGTTATTCATTTTTCAGTATTAAATACAGTGCTAAACATCGTTAGGATGTGCACATATTTTTATTCACTATGTTCAAGTATTTCTGTTGAATAGATGGATTTCTAGAAGTGAAATTGCTGGGTTAAAGAGTATTTGAATTTTTTAATTTAGTGGACATTAGCAAATAATCTTCTAAAAAGATTGTGCTAATTTACATTCACCAACATATATGTGAGTGTGCCATTTCTCCATATTTTACTATTTTTGAATTATATCTTTTGATTATTTATGGTAAATTTATAGGATTTCTTTGCTAATGGGCATTAAATTTTTGTCTGCTATATACTGCAAATTATTTTCTTGCACTATTGTCCTTTTTCTCTTAATTTTGCTTATGGTACATTTGTGTGCTTGTACACACAATAGGTGTAACTTGTACACACTAAAGTGAAAAAGTCTTACAAATACAGATTGATAAATTTATACATATACATATATATACACCTGTGCAACCACCCCCCCATCAAGATATAGAACATTTTAAGCACCCCAAAAGATTCCCTCATGCCTCCTCCTGGCCAGTACCCTGCCCATAAGGTAACTCATATTGTGACCTCAAAGACAGCTTTTAAAGTGGTTAGATCCTGCCATTCTCCTACCTAAATCTCGCCAGTGGCTCCCTCTTGCATTTAGACCACAATCCAAACTTCCTGCCAGGGTCCACAAGGCCCTACAAGTTTGCAGAGGTTGGCAAACTTTCTGTAAAGACAACTATCCAGTTTTGCCATTGTATGGTGAAAGAAGCCATAGGCAATATGTAAATAAACAGGTCTGGCTTTGTTCCAATAGAACTTTATTTATGAAAACAAGCAGCAGGCGGGATTTGCTTACCAGCCATAGCTTGCTGAGTCCTGCCCTACAGAATCCTCTCTAACATTATCTCTAACCTCTTTCCTCCACCATTTTTTTTAGCAATACCAGCCTTCTTTTTGATCCTCAAACGTCCACTTTTTTTTTCCAGCCTCAGGTACTTTGCACCTGCTTTTTCCTCTTTCTGGAAAATTTTTTCCCATTCTCAGGTTTCAGCTCAAATACGAGGGTACTTCCAAAAGTTTATGGAGAGATTCGTATTCTCTTTTAATTCTATTTTTCCATGAACATATTAAAAAGAGCTATTTAAATAAGTGTTTTCTCCCCATTTACTCTTATGACATCACTTTGCAAATGCCCTTCATAGAATCATAACACTCTGAAATTATTTTATTTGGTTTTCTTTCTCCTCCTACCTTTCTATAAGATCCATGACCCTTTTTTTCATTGTTGTGGGCCATTTTCCCTATACCCAGAACAATCTTTGGCAAATACTAGGTATTCAGTAAGTGTGTGTTGAATAAAGGAATGAATGAGATAAATTACAATGATGGATTTCCTAATGTTGAGCCACTTTTAATTCCTACTTGGTCATGGTTATTATTTTTACACCTGTATATTTAAGTGAATTTGGTCCATAAAGTTTTTTTGGCGGGGGGTTACTTTTTCAGTCTAATTTTAAAATCAGGCTAATATTAGCCTAATAGAATGAGTTGGGAAGCGTTCCTTGTTTTCTGTGCATACAGAAATTATGTGTTCATTGAAGGTGTGGTAGAATTTATCCCTAAAACTATCAACCTAGTGTCTTGGGCCAGGATTGGGGGGTGGTAGGAATGACTCCTTTTCCACTTCTTGTAGAGAAAGCGATCAGACCAATAATGCTTCTTCTTGAGTCCATCCTTGAGAGTTGATATTTCACTTGGAGATCTCATTCACCTAGAACTCAAAGTTGTAAATAATAATCTGTATTTTTTAATCTGTCTGGTTAGTTATGCCTCCTTTCACAGCCCTGATGTTTGTGTGTTCACCTTTTCTCATGATCATTCTTTTCAGAGGTTTGTCTGTTGTTATTTTTAAAAAGACTCTTGGCTTCGCTAATAAAGGAACCTATATTAGGGAGATGTTTTCTACTCTGTGCTATCATCTTTAATTCCTTCTACTTCCTTTGTTAATATTTTTCTTGTATTACTTTCTTCAGTTGAACAATTAGGTTCATTTATTTCCTTGTTTATTTCTTCCAAAGGTTTTTAAAATTCTGAGGTTTCTCATGGATACTGCTTTGGCTGTATTCCCCAGGTTTTGAAGTGTAGAGATTTTATTGTTATTCATTATTCATATTTTCTAATTTTCAATTGCACTTCTTCTTTAACCTCCAAAAGCTTAGAAAAAGCTTATTATATATGAAGTTCCTTATTATATCAAGTTTTTAAAATTTAATTCAAATATTCCATATTCTAGGTTTTTTATTGGTTATGAATATTCATGAGATACAAAGCTGATCGTCACCCCTCGGGACCAAGATGTGAAGGCCAGATTCATACTGGCAGCATGCACATTACCACAAATTGTGTATCCAAGGAAGAATAAAATCAAAAGTACAAGTTAATCCTTTAAGATTATGAATATCTTTTAAGCAGTTTTGTGCTTCCAGAAGGCTTGGAAATTAAAACATTTTAAATAAATTATATGGTATTTGAGAAGATAATAAGTGCCATGTAGAAAATAAAGTGAGATAGGAGATAAGTAAAGGGGTCAGTTTTCAATAGCAATATTAGGGATAATGTCACTGAAAAAGTTACCTTTGAACCAAGGTCACAGGTTCAGATCTCCATTCCAGCCAGCTGCCAAAAAAAAAAAAAAAAAAAAAAAGTGACCTTTGAGCAAAAGTTGAGGGGAGGGAAGAGGTCACTTGGATATCTAAGGGGAAGACGGACAGAACAGCAAGTGCGAAGGCCCTGTTACAGGACCATGTCTGGCATGTTTGGAGACGATAACTTATACTACATATGAAACTGAGGTGAGAACAATATAGAAATGTGTCATAAAACAGTTCTACAAATTAAATATAAGTGCTTACTGGTGGGAAAATATTCCATTACATTGAGTTTTTTCCACAAAACATCTTAAGGAAGGTAAGTTTAGATCCAAGTTTTTTAGGAAGTAATTAAATGGTTTGGCAATGTGGAGGGCATTCTAGATGGAACAATGTGTTACTTAATAGAAGTATTTACCTATGTTCCAGGCACATGGTAAGTCCAATATATATATAAGCTGTTATTATTAAGGATAGTGTGTAATTTGTGTGGGAGAATTATATAGAAGTATATAGACTTGCTTAGTTGACAAGAACGAGTTGCTTTGGAGATGATCTGACTAACATTTTTAACCAGTAAAATAGATGACATGTTAAGTAGGATTTTTTTCTTTTTTTTATATTCTAGACACAAAAATAATTTCCCTTTCTCACCTTGAGATGACCTGGACTAACAGAAGGAATTTTCCTGCACTGCTCGTAAGGATCTTGCATAAATCAAAACTACGATACTATGGGAAACCTGATAAAAAGATGGTTGAACCATACCAGGTACATGTAATGATAAAATATTATGTTAATTTAAATTCATAGATTATAATTTACAGACCCACTCTATATTAGGACAACTTATTTGTTTAAATAACATTTCATACATTCAATTTAATCATTTTTAAATGTACATAAATATATATTGCAAACTATTTTTCTATGTAATTTATTGTGTGAAAAGAAATTCCTTCTGTATTAGTGCCCTTTAATTCTCTGATCCAGCAAGTCCCTTTTATACCAGCCTATAAACATATTCTAGTGTTCCATTTAAAAAAAAAAAGAAAGGAAAAAAATCTGGCTTTACCTTATGATTCCTCTATTCCCTCTGTCTTTCTCTCAGGCAAGCTTCTTGAAGAAGTAGCCTACACTAAGTGTTTTCACATTCTTGTCTCCCATTTACTTCTTTTTGTTGGTTTGTTTTTGTTTTTTGTTTGTTTTTTTTGTTGTTTGTTTGTTTTTGTCTTTTTCGTGACCGGTAAGGGGATCACAACCCTTGGTGTGGTGTCGCCCACACCGCGCTCAGCCAGTGATCACACCGGCCAGTCCTATATAGGATCCGAACCCGCGGCGGGAGCGTCGTTGCTGCGCTCCCAGCTCCACACTCTCCCGAGTGCGCCACGGGCCGGCCCTCCCATTACTTCTCAACACAATTAGTTTGGCTTTTTTCTTCAGTTTTTCTTTCATTACTAAACTTGTAATTGTAAAATCTGACACTTTCTATTGTCTTGACTCTGTGCCATGTAATGCTGATGAGATCTACTTTCTTGATGATATGTTTGTGTTCTATTTTTAACTTAATGTTATACTGTATTTTCCCTTGTTGTCAAGAACTATTTTAAGTGGTTTATTAAACTATTATTTATTTATTTGCAAAACTTTTTTTTATTGTAACATAGTTGATTGCACATATCTGTGGGGTACAGAATTGAATATCAATACTTGTGTGCAATATGTGATGCTCAAATCTGAATAATTAGTATATTCAACATTATACAATATACATTTTCAATTTTAAATTTATAAACACAAAGTAGAATTATTAGTCTAATATTTTTAATCTCTACATTACCTATTTTCTTCCAATAATTTATTTTTGGATAATTTATTATACATATATGTGGAGTACAACATTGATTTTCAGTAATTGTGTACAATGTGTGATGTTTAGATCAGGATAGTTGGCTTATTCATCACTATAATACACAATCATTCTTTGTGTCCATTGACCAATTTCTCATTAGCCCCTCTCCCCTCCCCCAACTTTTCCACCTCTAGTTGTCTAAAAGTTCAACGTATTACTCTGATTATTGTTTCTTTCTCTCAGTCTCTCTTTATTGTTCATTTGTTTATTTATGGATTCAGTTCCTGGTTATGAGTGAGAACATGTGGTATTTCTCTTTCTGTACTTGGGTTGTTTCACTTAGAATAACTTTCTCGTTTATTTATGGACTCAGTTCCTGGTTATGAGTGAGAACATGTGGTATTTCTCTTTCTGTACTTGGGTTGTTTCACTTAGAATAACTTTCTCCAAGCTCATCCATGTTGCTGCAAATGGTCGAATTTCATTCTTTTTTATGGCTGAGTAGTATTCCATTGTATATATACACCATAATTCCCTTATTCAATCATCCATCAATGGACATTTAGATTGGTTCCATCACCTGGCTGTTGTAAATAAAGCTGAAATTAACATGGGAGTGCAGGTATCCCTCCAACCTGATGTTTTCCAATCCTCTGGTTATATGCCCAGTAGTGGGATTACTGGATCATATGGAAGTTTTATCCATAGTTGTTAAAGGAACCTCCATACTGTTCTCATTAATGGCTGTACTAATTTACAGTCCTACCAACAGTGCAGGAGGGTTCCTCTTTCTCCACATCCTCACCAATATTTGTTATTCTCTGTCTTTTTTATAATAGCCAGTCTAACTGGGGTGAGATGACATCTCAAAGTGATTTTGAGTTGTATTTCCCTGATGATTAATGATGTTGAGCATTTTTTCATATACCTGTTGGCCGTTTGCATGTCTTCCTTTGAGAAATGTCTATTCAGCTCCTTTGCCCATTTTTAATTGCATTTTTTTTTCTGTAAAGTTGTCTGAGCTCCTTGTATATTCTGGATATTAATCCCTTGTTGGATGCGTAGTTTGCAAATATTTTCTCCCATTCTGTAGGATGTCTTTTCACGCTGTTGATTATTTCCTTTGCTATGCGGAAGCTTTTTAGTTTGATATAATTCCATTTGTTTATTTTTTCTTTTGTTTCCTGTACTTTTGGAGTGTTATTCATAAAGCCATTGCCCAGTCCTAAATCCTGGAGCATTTCCCCTATATTTTCTTCTAGGACCTTTAAAGTTTCAGGCCTTATATTTAAGTCTAATTCATTTTGAGTTCGTTTTGGTATATGGTGAGAGGTACAGATCAAGTTTCATTCTTCTACAAATGGATATCCAGTTTTCCCAGCACCATTTATTAAAGAGGCAGTCTTTTTGTCAAAATTATACATGCTTATTTTAGAGAATTTAGAAAATGTAGAAAGCCATATAAAGTGAATAATACCACCCCAAATCCTGCCTCTCAAAAAGAGCCACTGTTAACGTGGTGTGTTTTATTCCGTTTCTTGGGTGTGTGTAAATCAGTTACTCACGTATACACATATATATGCATATCATGTATATACATACATCTATCGAATAATATGTATATATCATATTATATGTATCACATATGTGTACATATGTATGTGTATTATGTATTGCATGTAACCATGTATGTCATATATTACATTAAATTATCTTACAAAATGGGCACCATGTTGTGCATACAATTTTGTATCACTGAACATTTTCTTAAGTGTTTTATCATACCACCAAAAGTCATTCATAATTTTTTATATTTATAGATTCTATCATATGATATCATAAATTGTTCAGTTATTTCCCTATAGTTTTTTGCTTCCTCGTTCTTGAAATACTTTCCTCTCTGGAGTTTTGACTATGCTTGTTCCTTTGTTTCTGTACCTCCTTGTGTCTCCATCATTTTGCCTCTGCTTACCTCTCCAGTCTCATCTCCTCCTGAACTCTCCATGCCTCATTCTAGCCAAAATTGCCCTACCTAGAATTTCCCAAATGTAAACAATTGTTTTCTACCTTTTCATGCCTTTGCTTGTGTTGTTCCTTCTACATAAAATGCTCTTCCTCTCAACTCTTGTCAGATTGGCAAAGCCATCTTTAAGATTCAGTTTAATACTTACTTCTGCTTTAAGTCTTTCCATGTATAACTGTATGCATAGTCACTAGGGAGAATCAACTACATTCTATTCAAGACCCCACTACATGCCCTTTCATATATCTATCAGAGCATGCACAAGCCAGTTACACATATTTGCTAATAGATTTGCTGAACCTACTCCCTGACTATAGGGAGGTAGTGTGGTATAGTGCTTAAGAGGATATGCCCTGTAGTCAGATGAACTGAGTTTGAGTCTCAGTTTTGTCTACCACTTCTTATCTTTATGACATAGGGAAAGTTATGAATCCTCTTTCTGCCTCAGTTTACTTATCTGTAAAATTGGGGATACTAATTGTACTTAACTTACAATGTTGATGTGAGGATTGAATTAGTTAATATAGGTTTATATTATTATATATAGGTTAATTAGTTAATATAGGTTTATATGGCACACAATAAGTCCTATATACATTTTAGCTATTATTATTAGGGATAGTGTCTGATTCATCTCTTTATCCCAGTGCCTAACATGATGTCTGTAACATTATAGGGATTCAATAAGTTTTTAATGAATAAAGGAATAAATTACCCAGAATGTATATTCGCTAGTAAGAGAAAGGGTCTGAGAATGTAACATCATCATTTAGGAAGAAATTAAGTGAGCTAGAGAACACTTCAAAGACTGCCTTTCATAGATTTACCTATGTTTCAGGCACACAATAAGTCCTATATACATTTTAGCTATTATTATTAGGGATAGTGTCTGATTCATCTCTTTATCCCAGTGCCTAACATGATGTCTGTAACATTATAGGGATTCAATAAGTTTTTAATGAATAAAGGAATAAATTACCCAGAATGTATATTCGCTAGTAAGAGAAAGGGTCTGAGAATGTAACATCATCATTTAGGAAGAAATTAAGTGAGCTAGAGAACACTTCAAAGACTGCCTTTCAGGCAGAACCAAAGTTGTCTGTCACTATGTTTTAAAACTGAAAAAACTTCATAAAATATTTTCTATTGCAATAGACTTCTCTATTTCAACTATACCCAGACTCAGCAATAATGTATACTGACATTAATGATCCTTTTTTCTGCTAGCACAATTACTCAAGTAGTATTTCAGAAATAATTCCCATGTCATTTATACTGGAGTCTATGATACCACTATAATTAAATTAATATAATCAGGGTATTAATGGCATTGTGCCCACTTAGTTTTATGAGAGAACTTCAGAAAGTTCATGGAAAAATAGAAATTAAAGATAATACGAATCTTTTGCATGAACTTTTTTGAAGTATCCTTGTATATCTGTAATATAAATATCAAGGCCCTCCAATGATTCAGATAATTAAGAATGATGTCAGCATCTTCACTTAAAACCTCTAAAATGTGATTTGCTCATTCATTTCACAGATGTATTCTGTGGTTACTCTATCTAAGGCACTGTGCTGAACATTATGGGAGAACTAAATATAAATAAGATTTGGCCCGTGCCACAGAATTTACAATCACATAAATAAGATAGTACTACATCTGGGACTTCCATGCATCTTGTAGCAATCTCTCCTTTACATCACCAATATTAGCAGAGTTGACAACTGAATCATTATTAATAAGGGATTAAAATTTAAATGTTATTTTCTGTCAGCCTAAATTATCACAGATAATATGCTGTATATCACCTATATAGATAAAGTAACAAATATGTATGTGCTTTTACTCTTTTTTTCTAGACCTTTTTGGAAGTTGCTGACAGTTCAGGCATGGTGTCGGTGATTATGTGGAATGCTCTGTGTCCTGAGTGGTATAAAAGTTTGCAGGTTGGTTTAGTTCTTCTGCTTCAAGATTATTCCATTAAGAAGAGTTACCCATTCAGGGTGCAGCCTCTCCCTGTGGATCCAGAGACCAAACTAATATCTACAATGGGTTAAGTATTCAATCAGTTTGTTCTCTTATGTCTATATTGTTTATATAATTTTGCAAAGTACCATATCAGACAAAGGACCATAAAAATTACTGATGCTCTTAGAATCTCACAAACCTATAAATCTCTTAATCCATAAAATTTTCAGGCAATCACATAATAAATATACTTATTTATTATTACATTTATTAAGAAAAATCTTCTGAGATACTTATTGTTGCTTAAAGAATGGGGTGTATTATTTTTGTTTTCTTTTATGTTTTGTCACATAATATTAAGTTAATGACTTGAATATATTTTACTGTTACTACTAAGAGCTATCTCGAAAGGGCTTTTGTTCACTTTTTTATTTTGAAATAATTTCAAACTTACATAAAAGTTGAAAGAATAGTGTAAAGTACTCCCATATACCATTCACCTATATTTAACAATTGCTAATGTTTACCTTTGCTTCATCATTCTCTCTCTCTCTCTCCCCCCCTTATATAACATATATATTTTCCTCTGAACTGTTTGAGAGAAATGGCAGCCATCATACATACCCTTTTACCCTAAACACTTCAGCAATATTTTAGAATATATTTCCTAAGAGTAAGACCATTCTATTACATAATTACAGAACAATTACTAAAATCAGGAAATTTTAAATAGATGCAATAATGTTATCTAACAAATAGTCAATATTAAATTTTTGCCAATTGCTGCAATCTTGAAAGAGATTTTCCGAATTAGTATTGAAATCAAAGTTTTGACATCTTGGCATCCCAAATATTTTGGGAACATTAGGATTAATATATTAAAACGATTACTTGTAGATGTGGATGTGATTTTTTTTCACTTTCACTTTTCAGAATTGTAGATTACATCACTCACAAGTTTAAAGATTTTATTTGGCTTGTAATAGTTTTATTCTGAACCTGTATTTCTATGTATTTTAAGTTCACCAGCTAATCCATTAAGCTTAATTACTTAATCTTCGGATAAATGTAGTAGTTTTTCATTGTTTTCTTAAATATGTGTTTATTTGGGAAAACCTCATATGATTCTTTATTAAAATCTTGCATTTTGCAGGTATTGGTCAGATCTTGCTAGATGAAGAAGTTATTACCTAAATATTTTGGTACACTTAGTCCATTATCTCATTACTATTTACTGTAGAAAGGTGAAAAATTAAATTGGTTGAGATATTGTAAGTTAATTGAGAAAATACGGTAACATTTGGCAAAAGGAAGCTAATTTACAACATGTACAAGTATTTATTATGTCTACCAAATTATAAATTATATTCCCCAACCAAGCATATCCAAGTGACAAAATTGCTTTAGTAAGGATTTAGACATTCTTTCTCAATAACAGATAAGGTAAGTGATTTTGTTGATGACACATAATAACTCATAAAAATCAAAATCTAGTTCTCCTGATACCTAGCCCAGTGCTTCTTCTACTAGATACTGTTTTCTTATGTAAAGAGAATCTGAGTCATAGTTTTTACATGGCTGTGGACAAACCTAGAAATATGTATGGTACTAATAACTGCTTCTAAACCTTAAAAACAGAAAAGCAGGACAATAGACAGCATGTACTCAGTAGATAAACAGCCACACTATGCTACCTGTGCTACACAGAATTATAGGGTCAGATTTTCATAATGGAAACTCTCTTGTTAATATGCAAGAAACTATTTATGCTTTCAAGTGAATAATTGTAGATACAGAAATTAATTTTTAAAATGCTTGCCTTAATGAGAATATATTTAAACTGTGCCTTTTAGTCTTTAGTTTTACTTCTTATTAATGTTAGCAGCAGTCTTTATTTTCTCCCATACCTTTTTGATAAGTAACAAGACTTTTTCCCTCTCTGTCAAAGGGCCAACAAACTATTTCTGTAAAGGGCCAGATAGTAAATGTTTTAGGCTTTGCAGGCGATGTGTTCTCTGTCACAACTACTCAGCTCTGCCTTTGTAGAGTGAAGGCAGCCATATACAATATTAAATAAATGGGCATGGTTGTGTTCCAATAAATGTTTATTTACAAAACTGGGAAGCCACCTGCAGCCTGTAGTATGTCCAGCCTATATGTATAAGAAGATCTCAACTCTGAATGTATGTGAATTAGTCCGTTTTTGTTGCTTATAACAAAGTACACTGAACTGAGTGATTTATAAAGAAAATGAAATTTATTGCTTACAGTTTCTGAGTCTGAGAAGTCCAAAGTCCATCTGGTGGTGACAGCAGTGACCCAGGGGTCTCACATTGCAAGATGGTGGAAGCAGAGAGCAGAGAGAGAGAGAGACAGACTCTCTTCTTTTTAAAGCCCTCAGAACCATGCCCCTGACCACCATTTTTAATCCATTCCCTCCGGCATGGTCCTACAATCCAATCACCCCTGAAGGCTCCGCCTTTCAATTACCATAATAGGATTTCCCACCCTCTTAGCAGTCAGTGAAGGCTAAGTTTCTAATACATAAAACTTGGGGGGCACGATTCAAGCTTCAAGGAGTTTTGCAGGGACATAATTCAATCCAGTACAATACTTTATAATCATTTGGGGAGCTTTAAAGAACCACTGGTGCACCACCCTCAATGATTCTGATTTAATTACTCTGAGGAAGGAACCAAGGCATTGGTATGTCTTTAAAACTCCTTGGCTGATTCTAATGTACAGCAGAGTTGAGAACTATGTATTTATGATCAATAAAAATTACCTACCTCAAACTAATTGATGATCTTTTTTCTTTTGTTTACTTTTAATTGACAAATAATAATTGTGTATATTTATGGGGTACAGTGTGATTTTTTTGATCTATGTATACACTGTAGAAAGATTCAATCAAGCTAATTAACATTAATCACCTCACCAACCTATTTTTATGGTGAGAACATTAAAAATCTATTCTTTTAACAATTTTGAAATATACAATACATTAACTGTGTTCACCAGGTAGCGCAATATATCCCTAAAACTTATTCCTCCAGTCTAATTGAAACTTTGGACCCTCTGGTTAACATCTTCTCTTTCTCCATTTCTCCTCCCACCCACCCCCACCC